GGATCTAGACCCGAAAAAGGAGGCAGAGCTTTGACATAGAAACAGTAATGGTTGGCTTGCAAGTTTAGCATGAAGTCTAGATTTTCTGCTGGTGTAGATGGAGACCAGGCTGCTGTTCCAAGCAGAACCTTAGGGATGGGGTTCATTAGATACTCCCCAGGTTTTTTTCTTCACAGGCAAAGGTAGATGCTGTCCAGTGCTTCCAGGCTGCTCTTCAGGAGGGGCATGATGCCTGTACAATGTTCTGTGAGCTTTGCTGGGGCTCATGGTGGTGCCAGTTGCCTGATCCTTGCAGCATCTCTCAGTTCTGAAGTTTTACTCAATCTCCTCTAACTCTACTATTTTAGGGGGCAGCTCTGAACTTTTTCACCATCAGACACTCTCCAAAGGAGCTTCTGTCCCCAAGGCAGGAGTGGGGGGAGGAAATTCCCCCCTTGGGGACACGTCCTGTTTTTTTTTTTCCTGTGCTCACAGCGTGTTCTGGAGATCTTTGTGGTTTGGAAACTCCAAACCTCAGTGAGGTATTCCTGAAAAGAGGAGCAAGTGTTGTGGGAATGTGCAGAGCTGGGTCAGGAAGACTCATTTAAGCATGTCCCTGTCAACTGACCAGAAGGGACAGAGGAAGGGTCACCAGGTCAGCTATCCTGGCAGGTCAGGGACATGCCTGACACCTGCACCAACGAGCTGCACACTGTGTGGTGTCCTCAGCAGTGCTCTGGGCTGGCCACACAAATGGAAACTGCACAAGTGGGATGCCTTTGTGGCTTTCCATTACAGGTTTGCCATTTTAATGAAGAACTTTCAGGTGCCCTGAAATTACTGCTTTGTCTCTCAGTTATCAGGTGATGAATTCTTGCTGCATCAAACCGGAAAAAACTGATGTGCTGCTCTGAGCTGTCCCTACCAGTGGAAAATGCAGTGCAGGAAAGTGTCACTGCTGTTATTGCTGTTATCACGTTTGGCTGCTGGTTGGATTTGAAGGAAGGAATATATTTATTACCCACACAAAACTTCCCCTTGGAACAGCACCCAGGGGTGCAGGCAGGTGAGTGCTGCTTGTGGCTGTAGGCAGAAGCAGGAGAGCTTTTGCTGGCTGCTTGCCTTACAGAAAACAAGTTTTTGCCCTCTGACAGTTCAGCTGAGCACAGAGCAGTGTTTGCTTCCTGCAATGTCAGTGAGAGGTAGGGCTGAGCAGGCAATTGGTGCTCTGAATGACTTCTCCATAGACTGCTCCTTGCCAACTGAAATTATGCTTTAAGATTTTATTTTTACCATTATTTTGTCAAGCCTGCAGGAAATTCACCATTCCCATTATTTCCACAAGCTTCCCTTGGCACTTACTGTGTGAAGTCTGTGAATCCATAGGATCAGATCAAAGCTGTTCCCTTTGACCATCTGAACTACAAACATGCCAACTGTGAGGCATTATTTTTAAATTGCCTGTAAAAATTTAAAAGGATTTCCAAATATTTTTAATAATTCCCTAAAACAGTCTAAGGACATCTGTTAAAGTACTGAATTTCCCAGAAGACAGCAGTAGTTGGGATTGCTTCAGCTGCAAATTAAGGTTGTCAGTCAAAGGGCTTTTTCTGTTTCATTCTCTGATCTGGGAGTTTTTAGCATCTCTTCCAAAGTGAGCCAAAGAAAGACAGCTAGTGAGCTGTTCTGGCTTGTTTTGCCATGTGTTTAACCTAGCAAACAGTAAGTTGATACCTTTTGTGAAGTTTTCTGTATTTTACTGGATACCTCTGCTTGGTGAGGAACCAAGCTATGCAGTTTTGACATATTTTTGCACTTTTCATACTCTTTCTTCTGCAGCATGTGTGCAATATTTTTATATATTGAGTAGCTGTGGGAAACGCTATTGTGTGTCTGCAAACATTTGAATTATTTTAAGGCAGTGGCTCTGCTAATGAGGAGCTGGAGTAAGAGGCAGATTGATGTATTTACTCTCCAGGATTCCCTGCAGAGATGAATAGTAGGTTCATGGTGAGCTGAAAGGACATGACCAGCCCAAAGAGTGTTTAAAAGATGTACTTGTTTATTGCATGCTGGTATTCCAACTCCAGCTCCATCAAGGGCTATGACAGTTTATGAAAATATTGCTTCTCTACATAACTGTTTTATGGTGGTGCTGATGCTATACTGATTTAGATTTCCACTTGCTCATATGCATCAGAATCCTTCATTTTGTGTCATGGTAACATGAAAGTGTAAGAGAAGGGGAAGGCTTTGTCTTTTCAGTTGTAAATCCTAACTGGCTTTTAAAGCTTTCATTATTTTGTTCTGTGTGATTGAAAGAAGCTGGCATCATCACCAAGCTTGCAACAGAGGAAACTTTTTTTTTTAATATTCAGTGTTTAAAAGATGTCAATGTTATTTCCTTTGTAAACAGAAGATGATGGATAGAAAATCTGCCGAATTTTCAGCAAAGGGAGTAATTTCTTCAGTTCTTTTTCATTCCTTAATGGAAAAAGAATTATGGAAATGAGAACAGGCATTGCATTAAGTGCTTCCAATGTTCTTTCCCTTCAGACCAATAAAAACATAACTCCTCCATTAGGGAAATTTAGTTTTTTGAAGGCTGTGTGAATTTGAGTTCTGAATGAGTGAATGAGATTACTATGCTGGGGTAAACATTTCCAGGTCTGATTGTGTATTTTAAGCCTTTTCTAGATGGATATCAGCTCTTTCCTTGTCTTGTAGGTCTTCTTCAGAGCAACTTTCTGTGACTTTTTACATGTGCTTGTCTTGTAGTTCCTCTATAATGCAATCTCATTTTACAAAGAGCAGCAACAGAGTTTTCAAAGTCATGGGAATTGAACTATTTTTCTTGCCTGACTGTGGACAAGAGTTCCTGGCTTTTTCAAAACACTCCAGCTGCTTGAAAACTCCATAAGCAAAATTCAAACAGTACAAGTCAAAAAAAAAAAAAAAGACATTTCTGTGCTTCCTATGGTGTGTTTACAGTAGCTACAGTCTCACCCATAACTATGCATTATGCAGATCGTAGCTGTCTGCTTTTAAAAATACTCTTTATGTGTAAGTGGGAAATGGATGTGCAGCAGTAAACTGCTGTTCCTGGGTGTGTTCAAATCAGGTCCCTGAGCAGGGGGCATCCAAGTGAAGCCATATTTTCTCTCTCAGCTGTTAACCATAAAAGAGTAATAAATAATCAGCATTCATTTCTGGAAGTTCTAGAAGATAACAAAAATTAGAGGAGAATCATTACAAGTCATTACCACTGACCCTTACTTATAAATTACTAACCATAATTCAGTTTTGTATACAATAATACTTAAGGTGCCAGGTACATTGCAGATGTATAGAAGGATGATTTGTCCTCGTGTAGTGTAGGAGGGGACAGAGGCACCAAGAGCTTCTGAAACTTGCCCAAGATCTGGAGATGATTAAGTGGAATTTTTTTTTCATTATTGTTTTTATTTAGTTGTAAATAGTCTTGATGTAGCCAAAATTTGCTAGTTATAATTGATCAAATAAACCCCATTTTACTCTTTATTGGTGAAGTGTTGCCCATGGGAACATGCTGCAAAAACAGTGAAGGCAACAAATGTAATTACTATGAATATTTGGTCATGTGAGGCTGGTTTTGTTTTAGTTTTTTGAGGTTTATTTTCTGAAAACACTGCTGGGAATTGTTTGTCCATCACTAGAGTGTTCCCTGAAGGCCCAATCCACCACAGGACTACCAGGAATAATTTCTGTGTTCCTATTATATTTCATATGCAGACAACTTAGTCCTTCTGCCACAATCCAGAAAAATTTGCATCTATGAAAATATTGTGTTCATTACAAATTCAGGAGGCAAGGAGAACATGCCTGACCCACACAATTCTCTGTCCCCACCCTGATCATTCATTCCTAACAGGAAAATTTTGAAATGCTGGGAAAAGACATTGGACGTAAAAATTTTCAACTTCTTGCTGATTTTAAATGGAAAATTTTTCAACTTCTTGCTATTTTATGTCCTCTACCTATCCTGTGTCTCAGTCAATTGATGAATTGATGAATTTTCTCAGTCAGTTGATGAATTTGATAGTAATGCCTGCTTTAAGCATTATGAAGAGATGCTGGTGGTGAATCTCCACCTCTCGCACTGGATTTTTGGCTGATTTGATTTGGGGTCACCCCGTGCTGCTGCTGTGGGTGGCTAATTGCCCCTGAGGAGCCAGCTGTGCAGGCTGGGGCTGCCTCTGGAGAACACGAGCTCCCGGTGCCTCGGCTGTGTTTGCACACAGCAGCAGCCAGATGGTTGGAGCTGTGGGTTTGCTTTGCTTCACTCTGCAGGAGGAATACCTGAGCTGGATGTTGCCAGGTCACAGCGTGGCTCCTGTGTGCTACCAGCTGCTCTGGCTCTTCTCTCAGAAGTGTGCTTAAAGCATTACAAGGAGAAATTGGTAGAGCTCTCTGTGGTGCGGTGGGAAGTGGGGAAGAGTTTGTTCTTGTGCTCTGCAGACCCTGTGGGATGGGTTTGGTCACAAGCTGGCATCCCAGCCCACAGTGTGGTGGGGAAATGTGCCAGATGCTTCACAAGCGCTTTGAGATCTAAGGCACTCTCCACATGTAAATCACATTTTCTCCTCTCCAACCCTTGGGCATGGCTTGCTCACTTGGTGGGCACACACTGTCACCCACTGGAGTCATCAGACGCTGTAATTTTGCAGATTTGCCTCTGAAATGCACTGCTGCAGTCAACCACCCTCCTGAAACACCTTTGGGAAACTTAGGTCAGGTCCCATATCACCTTTTAAAACTACAGGTTGGTTGTTAGAGGCAATCATCCCTAAAGCAAGGCACTCTCTGGGCCAGACAGAGCTGTGGTGTCCACCCTGGGCTTGTCCTGGACAGGAGGAGTTACTGCAGGGTAGGTGCAGCCCAGCCGTGCCCCAGCCTCGGGGCCAGTGCTGGGCACAGCTCCATCTGTCTCACCCAGGCTGCCATCCCCATCTCACAGCCTTGGTCTCGTGGTCTTGTTCCAGGGCAACCCCCTGTACTTCCAGTCCGCCAGGAACGTGACCGTGAACATCCTCAACGAGAAGACAAAAGTCCTCACTCGCCTTGTAACAGGTAAGGAGGGGGAGAGGCTGCTTGGAGGGATTAAGGAGGGATGAAAGTGGGTGTTTTGGGATGCTGTGCTGGCTTCAGACAGCTCACAGAGGGGGCCTAGGTGTCTTGTGGAGTAGAAATGAAAACTTCACTCTGTAGAAACAAAGGCAGAGACAGGAAAGCTGTGCTGGAGAGGCAACTGGCTGGGGCGGAGGGGGCCTGGGTGTGTTGTGGAGTAGAAATGAAAACTTCACTCTACTCTGTAGAAACAAAGGCAGAGACAGGAAAGCTGTGCTGGAGAGGCAACTGGCTGGGGCTGTCTGACAAAGAAGCCACCATCATTTTCATCTGAAAGCCAGTCCAGAGTTAGAAATGTTTGTTGTATGACATCAGGGTCGGGAAGAACATACGCCAGGCTGACATTTCTGTTGTAACAAGCACAGGTTTTTCCAAAGACATTTATAACTGCCTGGAATCTTGGGAACTCTGGAGCCCAACTGTGGCAACAGTTTGCAATTTAAAGTCCTTCTGCTGATGAAGAATTCCCTTTGCACCCGAACAAGAGTGTGTTGGGTGGGGAAATGAGTGTTTTGTAAATCCCCAGTGCACAGCAGCTATGAATGAATGCATGAGTAATTTGGGTTGAAAGAGCTTAATGCATTATATAATGAATATGGCATTGTATATATGGTATAAAATATATATTTGATATGGGACAGAGATATACTTACTGAGATTTGTGCATGGACTGTGAGAAGTATTGGTGTGTGGCAAGGGCAGTAATCCATAAACATGTTTCTAAGTTGAGACTGGGTTGCTTGGTTTGCTTATATAACATCTTGGCCTTTAGTCACAGTATTAAATAATTAAATATGCAGCTTCAGTGAGCAATTATTCAGGCAGCATGTGTGAAACTTGCCTGGAGGAAGGAAATAAATTCGACCCCCAGGCTCCCTGATTCTCACATTCAGAGTGAAGGTCTTCAGTTTGTTGGCTCTCTGTGTATTTCCAAGAGGGTGTTTGGTTCACTTAAGCACCTCTGTGTCACGAGAGTTTGGGACTCAGTGATCCCTCCCAGTGTGATGCTCTGGTTATTGAGCTTTTTATGCATTCAGCACCAGCTTTGGTCTCACAGTGGAGCAGAGATGTGGTCCCATGTTGTGCCTACTGCAAGGATGAGTGGGGAGATGGTTAATAAGCAAGACACAAATCAGATTTTTACTGGATTTTCTCAGTGTGGCTGCACAAGTTTTTAAGTATTTCCAGGGATCTCAGCATGGCCTCACTTGTCTGAAGTGCAAACCTCCTGCATGATTCTGTGTGTCCAGGTGCCAGCACAGGTGACCTGTGCAGGGAAATGCTGGCTAGGGATGGAGTTTTTAAGAAAATACTGGCTTTCAAGTGTCATTTCTCTTTTGAGAAATGAGACTGGTCTTGAAGATGGCCAGAATTAATGCAAAGTCCAATCACCTGCCTCGTGCAGGATGATATTCCAGGAGGGTTGTGGTTTAGATGGAATTGGGAGGGCTGATGAGTGGTGAATTGTCCAAAGTCTGGCCTAGGTCAGTAACCCAGGGCAGGCTCTTTGTCACTCTCTGCAGCCTTTGAGCCACAAACCTGCACAGAATGGCTGTTCAGGCAGCTGGTGTTTATCAGCCCCCACAAGAAATCACATTGCCAGAGGCTTTCCAGCACTGTAGGGCACAGCAGCCTGCAGGAAAAGCAGCAGAATTGAAATAAGATCTTCAAAGGAAAGTTCTACTTGTCTAAAAGCTTTCTGCAGTGTGAGAGGATGCCATTCTTCTTGGCCTGCACATGATTGAAGGAGTCTAAAACAAAACATTTGTTCCTGTGCTGGTATTTTTCTTTTTTCTTTCTTTTTTTTTTTTTAATTGGGCTGTGCATGACACTGATAGAATTTTAATCCAGGTATGTTTAAAAGCTAGAAAACCAGGAATCTTTTGCACAGCAGCATCAGTCCAAGTAAAATGGGCCCAGGAGCTCTTGATGCCTCTTACACCTGCACCAATACTCTCAAGGCATGGCTGGATATGTTCATTGCTCTTTCACAGATGGGTCTGTCTTTTTGTAAAAATATCCCAGCTATCCCAAGTTCAGTGGTGATTTTATGGCACATATAAGCATTACAAAAGCATAAGTAGAAATAGTTGAGCAGTGTTACTTGGGTAGAAAAGTGCCCTTTCCTAATAAGACGTAAAAAGCCTCCGTTTGGTGTCTCTGATGCAATTTGTTGAGCTATTATTATTCAGCAAACGGATTTATTGAATGTATGAAGCTACTGTGTGATTTTCTTACACTTTTCCCTAAAGTAAAGCTTCTTCCCCTTAGGTCCCCAAGCAGTGGAAGCACACAGCCAAAAATTTGAGGTGAAAACCCTCTCTGGAAAATTGCTGTTTTCTGCAGATGACAACGAAGTGGTGGTTGGAGCAGAGAGATTGAGAGTTCTAGGTAAGAGATTGTTCATTAAACCACAGTTTTAATATGCACCTCTTCATGAGTATAGTTTTGCCTGACTTTCCTTCCTACTTGCTGAAAGCTTCTTTTGGAGATAAAACCTTCTGCTGTCTTTATGGCTTTGAATCTTCTTCAAGCAGATAAAGGCCAGGAGTTTTTGTGTGAGGGCTTTCTTAACCTGCACAATTTGTCCTTTCCCCTCCAGAAAAAAACTCCCCTGGAAGTGGTTTGTCTGGCTGAGTGAAATAGCTTTAAAACCAGTTTTGGAACCTGAACAATTTCATTTCTTGGATCTGGGGTGGAGGGCAGTGAGGGGCTGCCCCAGGGATGTGCCCCTGCCTGCAGTCACTGTGCAAAGGGAAACCTCAGGGTTCATGGTTTGGTGCCAGCTGTCACCAGCTCCTCCTTCACTCTGAAACAAACAGCAGGAGGATCTGCCTCCCCAGCTGCCTGCCAGGCCTTATTCCTAATAAAGTAGGAATAAATGGTATTTCCTAATGAGAACTGGGGATACACTCTGGGTTTGGGATGTAAGGGTTCTTTCTTATTTCCTTGGATTATTTTTTTTTATTATTAATTGAAGAAACAAAACAGTTGTGACAATTGGAAATTTTAAAGCATATTTGATAGTTATATAAAATTAACTGTCTGGAAATTGAATTTTTGTGCTCCCTAGTTCAATCCAGGCTCTTTGCTTAGTCTGGGATTTGAAGTCAAGTCTGGGATTTGGTCAGGAATGTTTTCACACAGGACCATGGGCAGCTCAATGCTGTTCACAGTCACACAACAGTGCTGCTGGTCTCTGTGGAGGCATCAATATCTGTTTTATAGTGACTTACTTTGGATACATCTTTACATTCCAAACTGTTCCTTACTTCTCATGTAAAAACAGATCAATAAGGAGCTTGGAATTATATGTAGCTATAGATAGTATTTTATTATTATTGTTACTATAATTTCTAGCTATTTAATATTATATTATGTATAATATAAATAGGACTTGGTATCCAACCTTAACATTTTTTGCTGCCTGATGTCCTGCTGTTCTGGATGGTTCCTCTTTGGGGATAGGGTGGGTGTAGTTCTCTGCAGATCACTGTTGTTACACCCTGGACTAATTCAGTCACCAGCTATAAAAAGTTAGGTGGGCTTCGCAGGATAAATGCTGAACTTCACAAAATTAAGAGTATCTTTGTTAGCTTAGAACTTCAAAGAGGCCCATTTAAAGTTCTCGTGGCGCTCCAGAGCTGGGGACATTTGTAGCAGTCCATGTTCTCCAGCAAAGCTCCCTTCACACTGCACCTTTCAGAGGTAGTTCATGCAGGGTAGATGAAGTCAGGAAGCAACAGTTTTTAAGTGTTTTCTTGGAGGCCTTAAAATAAGAGAGATTTACATTGTTGGTTAAAAAAAAAATGCAGAACCCTCTCCTTACAAACTACAAGTACTCCTTTTCAGATTACACACTTAGAAAAAATTGCTTTTAAGTTCCTCTGTACTTTCAAGAAACCAGGAATTAATTTTGATAGCTATTTTGAGTTTCTGTCTTATTTTACTCTCCAGAATAAACAGTATCAAAAATCTGCTGATCACTGTAGTGCACTTTGGTTTTTACCTGTAACTGAGTGTTTCTCGAGGTTGGTTTGACTTTTGCAGATCTATCAGAAAAGAAAAAATGGGAGGATACTGCTGGTGATGTTACATAGCAAATATTCCAATGACCTTGAGCTGAAATGCTTTCTGAGTTCATTCTTGGCTTTGTTTTTCTCCAGCTTTGCTTCCCCAATCTAATTTTATCTCCAAAAGTGTTTGCCGTGGCTGTTTGCCATGCTGGGAAGTGTTACACCATATGTTCGTGTTTCTTGCAGTGTTTTTGTCTGCTCTGAAGGCCAGTCCGAGTTGCAGCACACAGACAAATTCCTTTGATCATTCTTCTGGTGTTTGGGCTCTCAGGTGCTGCTGGAATGTGTCTGCTGACACCCATCTAGGCCATGTAAATAATTTCAACTTGCTCTTGTTATTGCTGAACAAATACTTCTTGTAGAGGCAAGTGTGTGTCAACAGCCTGGCATGAAAGTCATCCCACAGAGGTCAGAGCAGCAGTTCTTGTGGCCAGCTTTGAATATTGCCAGAGACAATAACTCTTTTTCTTTGTACAGACTCCAAAGTTTTTTTCTGGAAGTTTGTGCTACAAACTGATGCTTGTCCTGAGGAAAGAGATGCTCTCCTGTTTTGAAATGAACCTTGCTCTGGGTATCTGGAGGATTTTTCAACATTAGCAAGGGATAAAAAAGGGAAAGAATACACAGAATTATAGATTAAAAACAAATGCAAGTAGGACATACGATGCATTTGATGGTGCTTCAAAAAACTGCGCAGCACGGGCAGTGCAGATTTCCATATGAAAGTGCTTTTTATTTGATTTGTATTTTGGGGAGTTATTTCTGATTTATGAGCATTAAAGGACACAGAAAGAGAGAGCTGGCCACCTCTGCTTTTCATGTATGACGTAATTTAGAGTACTTCAATGATTTTATTTGATATAGTGAACCCAGTCAAACCTGTCATCATAGAAGAGGCAGGAGGATGGCAGGAACTTCTGTTTGAGGGGAAGGGCAGATCTGAGCCCTGTGGCCATGGTGAGCCCTGGTAACACTGGCACAACCTTGTGCAGACACAGAAAATCCCCTCTGCCTTGCTCAAGTTGGGTGCTCAGCACTGCCTGGGTCCAGACAACCCTGAGGGAGCTTGTGTTTGCCTGCAGGAACCCCATAAAAACTGAGCTCTACAACGACTCCACTCTGCCCTTCTTCTTCCAAACTCTTCTGCCAGTGCTCGTGTGCTGATGGATGGGATGGGATGGGATGGGATGGGATGGGATGGGATGGGATGGGATGGGGTGAGAGATGGGATGGGATGGGATGGGATGGGATGGGGTGAGAGCACATTCTCACTCTTAGCATCCCTTTCCTCTCCAAATGGAACTGGAGCATCCCATGGTGTTTTGAAGGATCCCATGGCAAAGCTCACAGCTGCTCTCCTTCCCCAGAACCTCAGCTCTGCCTTGGCAAGGCTTGGATTTCTGAAGGCAAAATCTGCCCCTTCTGTGCCCGAGGTGGCCCTGGGGGTGTGGGGTGATGTGCAGCCCTGCCCTGCAGCCCTTGCCCTGGTCAGCTGAGCTTTGGGCAAACCCCACAACACAGAGCCTGGCTGGAGCCCCCGAGGGCTCCTAACACAGACCCTTGTAGGGGAGATAAATGAGCTGCTCCTAATTGAATTTGTATTTGCTGCCTCGTCCTTACTCCCTCTCTCCAGAAATTAAACGTGTCCAGAGCATCTGAAAAACAGGGTGTAAGAAATGCTCTTTAGTTAAAAGAGTATTAAAAATAACTTTGATATATATTAATTACAATTTCATTTAATAGCTTATTGAACGTTATAGCATTTATAAATAAAAGACAGTCATAAAGCATTATTCTGACTGTTAATTAGCTCTATTTATTCTCCAGATTAGTTTTTAAATATGCCCTCTAGATGCCACTTGATACTAATTAACAGAGTTACATTATTATCTCTATAGAAAGGCATTTTTAATTAAATCTAAAGCAATTTAAATTAGCATGAGTTTTTACAGAAATTAAACTCTGGTCAGATGCTTAATTTAGCCTTATAAGACAACATCTGATGACATGCCAGTGTCAGTTCTCCCAAGGGCCTTGACATCTTTTTTATTTCAGATTATTTTTTGAAGTTTGTTTTCAGGGAAACTTGCCTCTATACTCTGGTGTTTAATATTTATGATGGATTTAACCAATTTTTTTGAAAGCTAACTGTTGATGGGAATCCACATGCATTGCAGTGAGCTGAGATAATACCACAAAAGCCACACTTCAGCTTACAGGAGTCTGGCAGTCCCTGGGTTTGTGTGGGAGGTGGGATTGCATGGGCTGGATGTTGTCCCCTTACAAACCTACCAAGCTTTTTACCACTGTTAAAATTACTGTTTTGCTTTCCAACAAGGATGGGATTAATCACAGCCCCACAGGGTCCCTTCTCTGTAACAGAACAATACAGGGATTGCTGCCCCTCCCCAGAAAATGTCTCAGACATTTGGATTAGCATGGCAGAAGCTTTTCTCTTAACGGAGCCTAATGATAAAGATTTGGCTAAAGCCTTCTCCTGTGGCAAACTCTAACTAAAATAGCTGTATTTAGAGTGGGGCAGGATGCCTTTCATCTCCCAAAATAAAGACTGCAGGAGCAGTGTGAGGGAGCCCAGCACCATGGCTTACGTAAAATCACCTTTGATCTCATCAACCTTTCCCTACTCTCCTGTCAAATAATTAGCCATTCTACCTTGTAGCTTTTTTTCCACTGTAGCAAACATGCTTTGGGCAGTGAACCATGTGGAGCATGTCCATGCTGACCACAGGTTAGACTTTTGGGACTGTTAGTTTGGGAACATTTTTTTTTTTTGCTCAAGTTTCTCTCCAGCTGCCTGGGAATGCACCTGGAAAGAGGAATCAGCTGTTGAAAGGTTATTGCAAATTTATTAATAAGTTTGGAGTAATTAAATCCAAGGCACATTTCCAGCATTTTATTTATGAGCTGTTTATAAAGGAGTTTAGAGGATTTAGTGGAGGAACACCAACAATAAAAGCAGTGTGGTCCAGGAGTGTGTGGCTATTTACAAGAGTAAGCAGTGACAGGAGGAAGAGGGATGGCTTTAAACTGAAAGAGGTTAGATTTGGATTAGATATCATTAAAAAATGGGATACTGTGAGGAGGGTGAGGCACAGGAATGGGTTGCCCTGAGAAGTGTGGGTGCCCCATTCAGGTTGGATGGAGCTCAGAGCCACCTGGTCTAGTGGGAGATGTCCCTGCCTGTGGCAAGGGAGTTGAAACAAAATGACCTTTACTGTCCATTCCAAGGCAAATCATTCTGTCATTCTGTGACTGGAGAGAGCTCTTTCAAATGACAGTGTTGGGGCTGTTGTT